CAATGATTTTTTCAGTGGCTGTGTGACCTTGTGTCTGACACATCATATGCAAATGACTAATCTGTGAAACAAATAGGGGCGGAGACAAACCACTCAAATGTTTGGAAACACTAATTGTGTGTCAGATAGCTACTGATAACACATCTGACATTGCTATGTCTTGAGTTTATCTTTGAAACTTAAGGCACACAGATTAAACCTGTGTTGTTGATTTTGGAAAACACTACTGAGGCTGCCTTGCTTCCCTTCAGAAAATCTACATTTTAACCAACTTACATGACATTCTATGTTATGTTGACTTTATCACATGAAAGTTTATAGTGCATTTCATCAATTAATAAATAAATGTGAAAATCGTAATTTTCAACACAAATAATAGTCTCGCTACCTTAAATCTGGTACTAGTTCAAGGTCAGGTAAAATGTATCTCGTATTTTATTCATTTTTACGGAATTAAGATGACAAAGATCAAGATCAACTTTGGAATTGTATGACCCCTAGGGAAAAATTATGCGTGGTAATAGTAAAATTTTTGCGCATGGGCAATGTTTTTTTTAACAGAAGAAATAACTAAAAGTATGTAAATGTATTTTATTATAAAATGAATGCTTTTAAAAATATTGAATAAATAAAAAATATTTAATAAGTATTACATTATTCGAAAATTGACAAAATTTTGCTTGATGACACACTACAAGTGGAATAATTAGTCCATATGTTGATCTGCTGATCAAGGCATTAAGAAGCAATGGCATAACAATTTTTAGCCTGGCACGTGTTGAATGTGTTCACGGAGAACACTGGTTGATATGTAGTTTAATAACGCCACTGCGATGTAGATTTATGAGGAGTTGAAACTCGGAGTCGTAATCGTGGTTGTGATGGTAGGTAGACCAGGCTATGTCGTCGGTATAATGCATTGGCAAAGGTTCTCCATTGGAGTCAATTTGAAAAGGCCAGAATCCGTAGAGATTTATCTCCTCACACAGACATATTCCGATACTGACCAGGGACATTCCTGTAAGAATAAGAAACAACGTCTAATGTTCATATACGTGTGAAGAAATAGTTGTTTAATGTTCATATACGTGTGAAGAAACAGTTGTTTAATGTTCATATACGTGTGAAGAAACATACTTTTCATGTTGTGTTTTGACGTAAGAGATTCAGCGTGCGCATGTCTATCTAGTTACGGTCCGCGTTCATTACAGGAAATTTGGAGGCGGGTGCGCGTTTGCTCATTATGGCGCAGCGCTTTGCCTTGATCTTGAATTGCAATCTCGTGTTAGGGGGGGGGGGATAATATATTCATAATGTGCCAAAAACACGTGATTGATTGCCTCCTGTCCGTATTGTCATTTGCATTCATTCGAAACAGCATACTTTGAATGGGCGGTGGTCGTAGCGGCGCGAATGTGTGATATTTGTGTTAATAAACGTTGATGCGCTCTTCTAATGAAAATGACATGTTTTGATCTGGGTGCAACATGCAGTAATTATCGCCGATGACCTCTTCGATACCGTCCAATCACCAAGGAAATTACCTAGTTAAAGTTTGTTAACATCTTAGTTTGTACGCGCTGGTCTGCGCAATAGTCAAAGTCGCCATCTTTGTCCCATATCTCACGCATGCGTGGCGCGACGACCACCGCCCGCTTAGTTTTGCCTGACACCAAATACCAATAAATACTGGGTTTGCTCATATTATAGCTACTGGGCATGTAGGTCAATATCGAAACAATGGAAAAATATCTACAGTAACTTTCAGCTTGTGAGTTGATTATATGAGCGTTACCGCGGTATGTGGCGTTCATCCTCGTTCACATGTATTATAAAATAATAAAATTATAAAATGAATACCGCAAACACTGGAAATACCTGTTATTTCTCGCCAGGTGATAAATAATGCTTGAGTATGCACATATAAACGACCAAACGAGGCTACACGTTGATGACGTCATCAAGCGGAATATCGCATGGAACAGAAACATGCAAATGATTCGATTTATTGGGGTACGAGTTGTAGCATGCTATACATTGCCAAGAATATGCACGTTTACCTGTTGATAACATTTTCTTCGTTTTCCAGTACCTTTGAAGTTTTCTGAAATAGATGGCGTCTGCAAGCAGCAGTTGTTGTCGTATCGTCTGCCGTATGATGCTGGCAGTCTCAAATGACAAAGAATTATTCACAACATAACTGTTGGGAATCCACAGAAAGTACTGCTGATATTCTTCCAAAGCTTGGAGGAAATTCGATTCGTTACCCGGAGTATCAAATAAATTAAACCTGTAAATAAAATATAAATTCCCATTTATAGTACATCTTTTACTGCATGCAATTTTACATGATTATGTCAGTTATTTATGACTTTCGGCCAACAGCTAGTGAAATCAAAATTAAAAAGTGTCTCGCATACACGAATCAGGATGACTATGCCGATGTCATGAAGCTCTGAATACGTTGTCGTGTCCGTTAATCTTATTATGATAATAATCACTCTACTAAAACAAAAACGTCGTTATGATCATACAAAAAAAATGGCAATCCAACGTAGAATACAAATATGGTTACGGGAAGAGCTAAAATAACGTACTTACCTATTGTATATGATACTAGGGTTTATTGTGACCAAGCTGCTTTTCATTCCCGCGTCATTTGTAAAGTGTTTTATTGGCTGAAGATTCGATCTATAGCGAATAATAGAGAATATCATTAGTGAATATTCATATGGTGAATATTCGGTAACATCGAATACAACGTGGCGCAAGGGTCAAACACAAATTTCACAACATAGCATCAGTAGGAGCATCACGTGGTGACGCTATGTTTAATACATCCTACGGACAAGTCAATCGAGTGTCAAAGAATTCCATCGGACTAAACTATCTTTATGACGAAGAACTCACATATAAAATTAGTTGAAAATTACGATATTTAAACTGAAAACGAAAGTTCGTGTCAGCTGACCACAATTTACCTCATAACAAAGTCAGAACTATCGATTTCGTTGCCGCAATGGCTATTTTTCAGGATGCCACCATTCCCAACAATTGCACAAGATTTAAATAACGTTGTTTCAGAGAAGGGTGACGTCTGTAAATAGAGAATAGTTATAAGGTATTGACCTCCCCTCGATATGGTTTAGAAGATGATTTGCCTGGCTACAGTTAGTTTATAAGACCAGGCGCGAAATCAAATTATATTATGTGGGTGGTTCGTCGTCGTCATCACAATATTATACATCTTTCACCGTGTCGCCGTACGTAACACAGTGCTGTAATTTAGTGGTATTGCACTGGGTATATGAATTATACCATATCAGGAAATGCGAATTCCAAATATAGAACGATATTAGGCGGTATATCCAATAATTTTCACCAGTTGCTCCGTTCTGGGCATTCTACGCCAAATGGTTACATCAGCAAGATGCATAATAATGAGATTATTATGCGAATACCACATTGGATGGGAGTCATTTACACGAGCGATTTGGTGAATTCTGTGATCGTATTTTCACGAGTGATGTGGTGTATTCTGAAGTCGTATTTTCGCGAGTGATGTGGTGTATTCTGCAGTCATATTTTCACGAGTAATGTGGTGTATTCTGCAGTCATATTTTCACGAGTAATGTGGTGTATTCTGCAGTCGTATTTTCGCGAGTGATGTGGTGTATTCTGCAGTCGTATTTTCGCGAGTGGTGTGGTGTATTCTGAAGTCTTATTTTCACGAGTGATGTATTCTGCAGTCCTATTTTCACGCGTGATGTAGTGTATTCTACAGTCGAATTTTCACAAGTGAAGTGGTGCACACTGCGTGATGAA